ACCCTGGTCCTTTTCCCTTGTGTTTGAATGATACGCTGTTACTTTTGACAGAGGGTTACCTGCTCTGCCCATCCACCAACTGGCCCGTCCTCAGCTCTAGAGGAAAGCATGCAGGGAAGAGAATCTGGCTGTGATGAACTAGCAGTAGCTTTATAGCAATTGACCTAGTTACCTAATCCTAATCAAAGAAGGAAATGTTTAACTCCCTCATGCTATCATGTTTTTAAATCCTCCAACATTTTAGTGATTTGGTGTTAATAACCGTTTATAGCAAGCCAACATTTTACGTCCAATTTATCTTGAAGACTCGTCTAAGAAGTTACCTGGTTCTAGGATAAAAATTCAGTGGACACTTTTCTTGGATCATTTTGTTGTCAGTGATTACACTTGCTGTGTATTATTTTTAGGAAAATTGTGTTTTGACCTTAAAGAGCTTTGAGGCCCTGCAATAGAGCAGATCCCAAATGACTTATTTACAAAGATGTAGGCTCCAAGATGCTTACTCCTTTGGGTCTTCCCCCAGAACAGGGCAGGAGGGCCTTCTGTTTAAGTTCCACGCACTGTTAGCCCCTCCCTTTTTCATAAAATGTAAATACAAGGCCTTCTGTCTTTGCTGTTGCAATGTTTATGACTACACACCTGACCAGCACATACGATAACTAGCTCCACTAATTATCATTTATACCAGGACTAGTACTTACTAGAATAAACAAGATAAATGAAAGATTGTAGAAGGAAATGCAGTCTTGATTTCTTTAAGAAATGATTTCCTGAAATCAGGGGTCCTTAACAGATCCATAAATGCCTAAGATATTCATATATGAGCTTCTAGAAGCCCATATACTCTCCCTGTCTTCCTGAGCATGTACTTTAATCAGGTTTTCAGGAGGGTGAAGAACCTCTACTCTGGAGTATATTCCCTGATCAAGCCTGAGTAGAGTACCTGGGATGTGCCACTTTTCTCTGTCACCCAGGAAACTCATAGCTGAATATACATGAAGGATGTTATTAAAATGATGCTAATTTTGTTACAGTTTTTTCTTATGAAAATTCACACAAGATATTTCTCCATATTTTATAACTAGGAATAGATGTGAATAGATTGTTTTGAATGAAGAGCAGTTCACAATGTTAAATTCTCTATTGGTTGTTAGAAAGTTTAGGGCCAAACTCTCAACCCACCTGCTACCCAAGTGCTTAGGACTTCACAGTGTGCATTTTGTGTTACTTTTTTTTTTTT